TTACCAAAGGATGGAGGGAAGAGAAGGAGAGGGCAGTTTCTCCCCTCCCTTTGAGCATTAGCACTTGCTGGGTCTGTGGAGCAGGGCCTGGTCACGTACTATTCAAGAAACTGTGCTGACTTCTGCTCCCCCATCCTCACTTCAGAGTAAGGCTACATCTGCTCGAGTTTTGATAATTAAATCCATGTAAAATCAATCTGCCTTCACCAATGCCAACTCTTAATGCAAGTGAAGCTACTTAGACATTGATAATGTTTTGAATTAAATCAAACCAGTAGAAGCTACATTTAAATCTATTTAAGGTTCAATTTTATTTACATTGTACCAGTGTAACTGGATTGATTTTTAAATCAAATTTAACCCTACCAAGGCAATTTTCTTAGCATAGACTAGGTTTGCTCAGTGAGGACCCTTGCCTCTGGAGACACCATGTAACATGCTTTTGAGGCTAACAGTTCTCATTGACAATAACGATGTGGTTGATTCAAAAAAACACAAGGCTGGATGTCAGTGCAGGATATGCCACTATCGATCTTCCGGGCCCCTGACAGTAGTTTTAAGAGAGCTAGCTGGCTTTTGCATTTTTCTGAGGTGAAGAAAGAGGAGGCAATACTTAATTATCAGCAATTCTGACAGTGATTGGGGTTGACAGCCTGAAGCAGAGCAATAGGATGAAAGTGAAAAGACACTGGCAGCCAGAAAGGTCCTTCTGTAGGAATGCGGAAGGGTTGGGATGATGGAAGGGGTTAATTCTCTAGGAAAGATAATTGGCATTGCTGCACACTTTATTCTTTTGTTTTTGGTCGGGTGAGTGGAGCTCTCTGTGCTGACTTCTTTGGGGCGTTATTGGCTCTGCTTCTTTGACAGAACAAAAGAGCCTTTGTTGTCCATCAAAGACCATTGCAATCCATCCAGATACCCAAGGCCCCAGAAGGGGGAGGTGAACGTGGAGGAGCTGCCTGTGTTCCTTCCCCCACAAACAGCATCAATAAAATTATTGAAATCATTTGCATCATTATTGAAATCTTTTCAAGGGAAATGTTCTTCAGCATTTACATCAGTGCAGCTACTGATGTAAATGCTGACTTAAATAAGACTTCCAGCAGGGCTGCTGTATGTCTGAAGGTCTGTCAAGTGAGTCTAAACACAAATAATTTGGGATGAAGTTGCTCATAGAGGCTTTTGCACCCGACCATTACTGTCTTGGGGGGGGGGATTTAAGAAGCCTCCCTGCACTGTATTGTCCCTGGATCAGAGATGTGAGAACAGGCTAAACCTCTGGTGGAATGAAGGTCGCAATTCATTCTACTTAATGGAAGAGAATTAGGAACCTCCTGATGTTGGACCCCTGGCATAGTCCGTGGTGAAGGATAGAGGCACCCCTCTCCCCTTCCAAAAGACAATGTAGCTGATCTAAACTCCACATCCTTAGTTTACTCCTGGTGACTGCAATAGAGTTTAAACTTGGCTCCAAACTTAGTAACAGCCACTGGATCCCGCAAATCATGTACTATGAATCTAGCCGTAAACACTTAGATGCCTTCTCAAGGTTTTCTATTTATCTGGATGTTATAGGAGCAGCTCATGCATCTGTGTGTGTACATATCTGTATTTATGTACATAGCTAAGAGAAAATTGTTGGAGAATGACAAGTGAAATGTATACCAGCAACCCTGAGTTTTGTGCTTGCGCATCCTCAGGTGTTTGGATGAAGGAAGGTTCATTGCAGGATTTGGGCCCTGAGGAGCAAAATCAAACAGCAGATAACTTCCTTTTGCTCTCCTCATGGCATTACAATTAAAAAAAGGAGAATACAGATGTAATAAAGAAAAATTATCTAAAATTCAGGCAGGTAAAACTAATAGAAAAAGAATATTAAAAAACCCTCAAGAAAATGAATAAATATTCATGAAAATATTCGAAAGCTCAGATGCTTTCATCAGTCACCATAGGAGGGAAATATTAATTTGAAATAACCATTAAAAGTCTTGAAAAGACTTTTAAAAAGGGAGGAAAGGAACAGCACACCTTCTGATTCCACAGGCTCCCACAGCCGATGCACAGCTGAGGTCTGGCCAAGGGTTTTCCCTCTAGCTCAGCTTCCCCTGGAGATTTAAACTGCGTGTGTTTAAAATACACATACCTGCCTCAAACCTAACAAAATACCCCTTCCGTCTGAATTTTCCATTGCGTTCACATCACAGCAGCGTAGGAAAATAAAAAGGAGTGCTAATCTATCCTACAGTTTCCCGAACAAGGACTCCGGGCAGGGCTTTGTGAGTGGATTTGACAGATGTACGAGCAGATGGTGAGGGACACTCCCTGAGAGCAGCCGATTCCCAGGCCTCCATGTCCAAAAAAATATCTTTCCACGGATAATGTGATTTTCAGAGGGAAGAAACCCAGTGCTCACGTCTCACACCAAAAGTTCTCGGTCATTTCTTGAATGCGCAAGGGGTTGTATGGAAATGCTTGTCTTCAGAAAAGAGCTCGCTGGTGGTGATATGCCACAGGGCTCGACCTGACCCTCGCAAAACCCGAATTTGCAGCCTGACAGCTCTGTCTTGCGAGCTTCTCCATGGTTGCATGGCTACAACCAGCAGCTGAATCGGGATCACCTTGTGTTTGCATTGGGTGGTGACATTTTAGGCCTGTTTTGCTTCTGCCAGAATGCACTGTGCAAAATAACATATCCCGTGAAGTATCCATTTAATGCATGCATTTCTGTACAGCCTACGCACTGAAATACATCATGCCGGAGCAGGGCTGATGCCTTGCTAAATGTCTGCGAGCGCCTGGTGAACCCCTATACTGAACACGGTGGTGTGAAATGGAACAGATGGGCTCGGTTTGAGGCTGGTGATTTGACACAAAAGGGTACTTTTCTGATCAATGGGGTGGGAGCCAGAAGCAGGTTTCGTGATTTATCCTACCACTGCCGGCATGTTTTTAGCAGCAAATTAGCCGCAGAACCCCATTTCTTATGGGGGGGATCCGTGTCAGACCCTGCTGCTGCCTTGCTGGGGGCTCTCGGCCTCCCCCACGTCACTTTCCTCTGCCTGGTGGATTTATCCTTTGGACGTTTAACTACGCCACGGTGGGACAGGACCCTTTCAGCCCATGTTTCGCACAGCTCCCCAGGCAGCGGAGTCCCGCTTTAGAGCAGCTCCACCCCGACATGTCGGAGCCCTCGGCCAGGTGGTTTGGGGCAGCACAAAGCCGGGGGCCCTGCCACCAGCCCAGCCCACGGTGCACCAGGGGTGGATGAGGCGAGGGGCCGCGTTAACAAGAAACGGTTCAAAAAGCTTCGGGTAGGTGCAGAGCGAGACAGGGGGTTTGGGGCTCCCGTGGGGGGGCTCCTGAGGAGAAGTTTGGTGGGAGCTGGCCCTGGGAGGGGGGCGAGAGGAGGAACAAAAGGCGATGGCTTCCCTCAGAGCCAGCCCCCAGCTCGGCAGCACAAGCGCCTGTGTCCCCCCGGGATGCCACCGGCCTGAGGAGCCGGGG